TATTAAGTTACTCTGAAGGAAGAGACTGCACAATTAAATAACTACGATCAATCTTAGGTTAGACACATCAATTTATAGTCCTGAATAACAATTCCACGCTGAATTATATCAGACTATATTTTAAAAGTAAAATACAGCGTGGGGCAAAAGGATAGAACAACCATTGAAATTGTTCACATATTCTACTATGTTTTTGAGTGGTCTCAAAGATTTTGCAGAAGGAACTATGGGAACAGTAGCAGAAAAATTAAATGGAAATCTATGATCTGAGTCAAGATATCTGAAGTGGAATAGTTATTTCTTAGCATCCAAGACAACTCAAATGTGAGGTAGTGCATAACTCACCTTCTCCCCAAACACAAAGAATGGGGAAGGATACTTTGTATCTTGGTTGCTGAATGGGCAATTGACTGAAGACTTGTGGATAAGTGCATTGCGTCCCTCTGTAGTCAAGATCTTTCTTTTTTCCTTGTGATAGCAGACATTGGGATAAAGTCCAAAGCAAAGCAGTGAGATAACCACATCAAGATTATTATCTGGTCCAGTGTTGTTAAATACTTGTGTCATCAAGCACTCTGTTTAGTAGGAAAAGGAAGAAATATTACTCAGTACACAAAACAATTAGAAGCAGCATATATTCTCTATGATATAACATCTATTTAAGAAGTCTGCTTAAGACAAGCGTTCTTAGTAAACAATAGGAAAAAAATTCTGGCTGTAAACTTTCACAACTGCTTTGATGCAGTGCAAGCCTCAATTTTACAAGATGTTCAATAAATGCAACACAAGATCATGTATTTTACAATTTACCATCACAGAATCCTTACAGTGTGAAAGCAGGCCATTCGGTCCATCAAGTTCACACACACTCTCTGAAGAGCATCCCTCCCAGACCCAGCCCATCCCTGTAACTCAGCATTTCCCATAGCTAATCCATCCAGCCTGCACATCCCTGGACACAATGGGCAAATTAGCACAGGCAGTCCACCTAACCTATACATCTTTGGATTGCGCGAGAAAACCCATGCAGACATGGGGAGAACATGCAAACTCCATGTAGATCATCGCCCAAGGGTGGAATTGAACCCAGGTTCCTGGCGCTATGAGGCAGCAGTGCTAACCACCGAGCCACCATGCCACCCTACATTATCCTGTATAAATCTTTGTAGCTTTTGTAAAGCATTGGTTAAGACTCATCTATAGAATAGCAATTTTGGGCACCACACTTAGGAAGGATGTCAAAGTCTCGGAGAGGATACAGAAGAAATTTAGTACAATGTTGTGACATGCGTGACTTCATTTCGGGTAGAGATTGGAAAGGCTGGATTGTTCTTCTTAAATAGAAAACAGGTAATGGGGAGGTAATGAGGGGTTCTTAAACAGGTTTGGTTGAATTATTTCTGTGGGCAGGAGTATAGAAAATGAAAGGGCCCATATTTAAGGTAACTGATACAAGAACCAGAGAAAGGAAATGGGGAGATTCCTTTAAAAGCAGTAAATTATGATAATTCAAAATGCACTCCCAGAAAGGGCATTGGAATAAGATTTAGTAATAACATTCAAAAGGGGAAGTAAGTTGCACTACGATAAGAAAATAGAAGGGGGTGGGGACAGTTCTTCTAAAGAGAAGACGCATGATGAACCAAACACCTTTGTGTAGTAAAGTTGAAGACATCATGCATCAATTGGTATTATGGAAACCTTCACCCAGCCCCTATCAATAGTGCTCTACAGCTTTTGTGACCAAGATCAAAATCTGAAGCATGAAATTAATTCTTACCACATTTGAACAAATTAAATCACCATGTGACATTTGTCAAGTTTTTAAAGAGGGTGTCATTAATAATAGCATTAATGTAAAATGAAAAATAAATAGGAAGTGTGTACATCAACTGGATTGAAAAAGTACATCAACTAATTGCATCTTTGTAGTTTATCTAAGTGTTGTAACATTAACAAAACACTTCCAAAACCAGCATAAACATACATTACATTTTAGATTTAACAGCAACAAAACAGCAGCAAAACACAATTTAGTTCATGTAGTTTTACCTTCAGGGAAGCCAGAGTTGATAAGGATGTCCTTCAGCTGAACCTTAGCTTCCCATGTCATGCGCAAAGTTGCCATATTTAACCTTTTATGATCACAAAACCGCAATTCTGCATCTTCTCCTCCCATCCTACGAAAAAAAAATACAAATGCTTACATTATAGAGTTTACAGAATGTGCTGCGAAGGAAAATAATTATAACTTGGTAAAGATATGTTTTCTGAATCAGCATTGCAACAATACCTTGCATCATCCCAGGCCTGGAAAACTGAAAGCAGAGCAACGTGATCTGAAAATCTCGTTCCTGAGAAGTTCCTGTGCACGTAGCCCAGGCGCTTGCCTTCATTAACAAAAGGCTCTGGGAAACAGGTAGCAGCAGATATTGTGCACACTGCGTCCCCAACACTGCAACAGATAAAAGTAAAATCAGTAACATTTTCTATCAATAGCTTTCCAAATCCAATTATAACTAAGCCATCGCTAAAGTTAAATTCATATCTGTCAAGCGAGGAACAGTTACAACCATTCAAACTAAGTAAGCTTGGCAACAACAACTTGCTTTTGCATACAGCGTTTAATGGAGGAACAAATCCCACGTCACTTCACATGAGCATTATTAAACGACACTTGATAGATAGCCATGTAAGGAGCTCTTAGTTAGAAGAGGAAAGTTTTGAAGGAATATCTCAAGAGAAGGAAAAGTTGAAGGAGGTATTCCAAATCAAGGCACCTACACAGATGCAACAGTGGAGTAATCACAATCACAAAGCTAGAGTTGAAGGAGCAGTTACCACAAATTAATTGTCCTGGGAGAAAATAAAGAGATTTATGGAGTAATAAAGCCACCGATGGAATGGCAAACAAAGGATTGGACTTTTTAAAAGTCAAGTCGTTGGTCAAGTGAGACCCAAGATAAGTTAGTGAACAAAGGGATGATACTGAAAGTGATTTGGTGAGATTTCGGGATGGGCAGTAGTGTTTTGGATGCACTTAAGTTAATGTGTTGAGGGGTGGAAGATAGAACTTCAACAAGCAAAGACTCCATATACTATTACTACCCCATGTATAGCATGTACTGTTCTGTACCTGCACCTTTTTTTTAAAAAATGTTTTACACCATGTAGCATCAAGGTCAATACATCAGCTGATGCTCTCATTTTCCAAATCTAACTAGTTTTACTGAATTACCAACTGTTCTCTCCATCAAAAACAATTATTTACCACTAATTGGGAATCTGTTTCATAAGTCAAAGTTGCCTCAAGACTTTAGATGTGTCTGTGCATTTTCTTGATTTTTCTACATAATACTTCTTAGTCAATTGTATCAATTGGAAATAAGTCTATGTAGAACCACAGAATCCCTACAGTATGGAAACAGAACCTTCAGCCCAACAAGTCCACACCAACACTCAGAGCATCCCACCCAGACACATTCCGCATAACCCACCTAATCTACGCATCCCGTGGAGGATATGGATTGGATACTTATTTGATCACATACAAACAGACACTTACTGACGAAAGACATGGTCCATATACAGACTATGTACCTGCAACGAGTATGCACGTGCCTGCAATTTTTCCACTTTTGAATAAATCTAGTCCAAGTCTTACAGTCTCATTCTTTCTTTTACCAACTGGCAACCAACTAAAACATGGCTTTCAAAAAAAAACTTAGTGTTTCCATATCAATCAACCTTCAGAAAAAATATTTAATTTTCTTGCCACTCTACGTTAATTTATGTGTTGGTTCAAGTTCATAGCTTTGTACCCTGAATTCACCCAGGCGCCTCCATGACAAGACAACAAG